ATGATTTGCAATTTAAGCGTTCTCGCCCAAATTCAGATGAAAAAGAAACCTAGTCCATTTTTTCTTTGACACTTGTACCACTCATTTAAGAAGTATGATTTTGAGTCTTAATGTCAACTATTTCTTTGGTATATGTTTTATATTAACTCACTTCATATCTACGTTAGCTACGAGCGCTTTCTATTGTGGAACACTAAGTTGCCAGACTTAAAATGTTATTACACCGTTTCGAAATTACGGCGAAAAAACGGTCTGACCGGCCAGCCGCCCCGTGAAAATTAACCGTTTCGCCGATTTTTTCAAAATGTGGTACGAGCCACTGAAATGCCGGTCAGACCGTTTTTCTGCGTTTTTTTCGAACAGTATATGCTATAATAACTTTACAGTAATTTTCACAATTCCCGTTGCTTTTCTCATATTTTCAGTGCCTTGTTTATCCCTAGGTCACTGTATGATCGAAATATATGAAGTTTGGACAAAATTAGGGAAACGCCTGATATCGTAATTTTTGAACATGTTACAAACAATGAAAACGTAACATATTTTTATGTTTTTTTTTGTTGCTTCCAATTGATATTTCATTTTTGCACAGCTATTTTAAATAAATTCTTGAATTAAGTTGAGCATCTCATTTGGCCACCGCAACCACCAGACCTGAATACTTTCGAGCATTTGTGGTCGATTTTAGAGATGCAAGTCAGAAGTCGATTCCTGCCGCCATCGTCTTTAAAATAGCTGGAAGGAGTTTCAACTGAAGCATGGGTTAAAATTTCTGAAGGTGGAAACAATTCGCAGTTTGCATGAATCGATCAATACCTCGGAGAATTGAGGCTGTAATTGCCGCAAAAGGTGGAACTACACTATACTGAAATACGTATATTTTGTGGAATTCTCAAGTGTTTGCCTTATTTTCTCTCACCCCTGTAGGTTTGCTTACATTTTCTATACCTTGTTCATCACCATAAACACCACCCATAACTTGACGGGATGGTTAATGGGTGGGAAACAAACACAACTACATACTTGATGTGGAGGCTCATGGGTGGGAAGCAAACGCCATTTCTGGCTGGCTGACAGACAGTCGGCGTTAGATCGAGTGAGTCATTTAAAAGTTAAAAAAGTTAAAAAACACACGAATGCTGTGTGAGACCGGTTTCCAAGCAAACATTTGTGTTGAGTTACATCTTCGTTGGGTTGTCTTTTTATTTAATGATTAATAATCATTTGGAACAGTTTTCTCTCAGTGTCTGCCTCGTATCCGACAGAGACTTTGTTATCGCTCTTACCAACTCTCAGTATCAACGCGCCTAAGAACCCTGAGGGTCTGCTCAGGTCTTGCCTTGTTGGTACTTGGTTTACTCCAATACCATTCTTTTTTAATATGCAATATTTGTTTGCCGCTTCAAGTAGGAGCTAAACAGAAAATTCAGTCATGCATTCGTTAATAAAGAGTAATAGTTAATTATAGATAAGCAGGGTTCATTTCATACGAATTTCGGATTAATTTTATCAAATATTTATTTACTTTCTGTATCATGTATCATTCTGATATGTCATCGGTTACTCCAACTCTGCCTACAACTCTTTTATTAACTGCTCCATCGCCACACTGTCACATTATTGTAACTCCTGAATTAATAAAAAACTAAAGTATTATATATTCTAGAATCAAAGTTTTAGTTTGCTTCCATGGTTTTCGTTCTCGGTTTGAAATCAAGTTGAGACTCGGGTTTTGCATCCATCACTACATTAACAAAAATGCGTAGTGATTTTACTCCAACTCAAACATGTAGTAAGTATATCAATCAAACGTCGCAGAATAATGTATCATAAATATTTGTAACCCGTTCTGGCACCAATTTTATAGTAGTCTCACGCAAAACATAACTTGGCTTTGGCATCACGCAGTTTCTTGTTTATTTATCCGCACTTCAACTGTCGTAACATCTTTACCAAAAATGTTTCGATATTTGATTAACCGAATAAGTTCAATCAGAATGAAACATTTCACCGCCATGACACTTTGTATATACCAATTTCATTCGATTTTTTTATATATTGCAAGTAAATTTTACGTGATGCATTACTTGATAACTATTTTTCTTACGAAAATCTTAACACCAATGTATGCATTGATTAATTATAAAAAATATTATAAATGGATAGTAATTATGAAATGAGTTAGAGGCGGCTAAATCTTTTCATTCCAAGAGTTTGTGTAGGATTAGAGTTCGATTCTCTTATCAGCTGAATGCTTCTTTAATCCATTTAGCAACCTAAAAGATTAGTAAAGTTTAAATTATTTATCAGCCTAAAAGCACTGTAGTGAGTGATTTATTATGTTGTGATAATGTTGACAAGTTCTGCGTACTTTATCACCTGCAAAATTCCGGCCATCTTCGCAGCGTTTGCGTACTTACGCATCCTGTCGGAAACGCGTCATCGGTCCACTACTTGACTATTGTCTGAGCTAATTGCTGTATGGTGCTAGCGTGCGCCTAGTTCGGTACCCGACGCATGTCATTTTAATGACCGTTAATTGGGTTCGCGAAAGATTTCTCATGTTCTGTAAGTTGTAACTGCGTCATGTTTAATATGTTTCCAGGCTCGATGCTGTCATTAATATAAAAAGTGTCGACTTCGATTCTAGACTATTTGATTGGCATTAGTTTGTATGTTTCTGGGGGCTCGAATGTGTATTTCAGAATTAATGAGTTTGATAATCCTGAATTGTTTATTTGCCGGAATATTTCGTACACGATGAACGAAAAAAATGTAAAGTTCCAGTAAGTAAAATTTAACTAAGTTGCGTACAAATTCAAAATTATTCGCTGTGCGCATAATTTTAATAATCGCCTATATTTTCGGGATTGCATATTTTTCTTGTTTCAGTGTAACTCTGCGTGACGTCTATTTCAAGTTCAACTGTCCCTGCCTAAAATTTATTCTCGTTTTATCGGCATATTCATTATCTTTTTCGCGCCTGTTTTAGCATCTCTTCGCTACTTTATTTCGTTTTAAAATTGCTTGAATGTTATCAGCTTCAGAACCATAAAACACTTGTTCGTGATGAAACGTGCTCGCTCGGAGAGCTGGTGCGAGATAAGGCGATAAGGGGCGTGAGTGAAGGCTTGCGTTAGTTCAAAGATTGTTAGTAAAACTTTTACTGCTGATATTATTAATGCAGTCTTGCTTGCTTCTTTTACTGCCACTGCTTCAGCTGCTGCCTGGCACATCGTCCGTAATTTGTATAAATAAGCGACACGCTCGCCATGACTCACCGTCTCGTCTCCAATCCTCCTTTGTTCCTTCTCGGCCACCTCTGCACAATCGGCTCGTAAAATCTCGTGTTTTCGTGGCTCTCCTTTTTTTCACGTCCTAATACTTGGTTGAAAGAAATTATTATGTTGATATTTTTGCTCAAATCGTATGACTTGGCTGGAATCGTATGACATTATTTAATCTACAAGATCTACGTTAAGAAACATTCGAATTTGTGACGATCTAACCTAACCTATGAAACGTGCCTTAGTTGGATGTTTGTGCTTATTTACAAACTCAATTACAATTACAGTTTGGGGAAATAAATATTCGTACACTTGAAAAATCGTATTTTAATGTATTTTTGATAGTTTTTTTTTTTTTGAATACTATGCGTCTCTATACATAATTTAAATCACTTTTCCTGTTAAGTTTGTGTACTTACATACATTAAAATACGATTTTTCAAGTGTACGAATATTTATTTCCCCCCACTGTACATGATTAAATACCAAGTGATTTTAAGGAACATAGTTGATCTGTAAACCTTTGCAACATGTCCGTTAGAAGTGTGCTTGTTTGTAAACTCAATTACAATTACATGATTAAATACCAAGTGATGTTTAGGAACATACTTGATCTGTAAACGTTTGCAACATGCTCGTTAAAAGTTTGCTTGTTTACAATCTCAATTATAATTACATGACTAAATACCAAGTGAGGTTAGGTAACATAGTTGATCTGTAAACGTTTGCATTTAGCCCGTTAGAAGCGTTCATAGTACTCGTAGTTTTTCATTGAGCTAAAGCAAGTCAATTGAAAAAGGTTCACACATGAGCGGTAAAAAAGGTTACAAAGGCTGGGTCATAAGGCGTCTGTATACCGGGAGTCGTCGGCATCAGATAGTGGCTGGTGTCTGCTTATCAGTAGCTCTCTTTGCGCTCAGCGCTCACCTTACACATTCCCAATATCAAGCCCAAGAACTGAATTCGAAGAACAATAAATGTTGAACTGAACCGTCATTTAAGTATTAGTTTATGTTCTAAATGACCTATTATTCAGGTGGCAGGACCATCTTGTTTGTTTGAGTTCATCATTTCGTAATAAGTGTAGAACTCTCCTTCGCTGGAAATAACTACGTACGCTAGAAAAAATATTCAGGTGACAGGACCATCTTCTTTGTTTGAGTTTGTCTTTTCTAAAAAATGTAGAACTCTTATGCGTTGTGATAACTACGCTATAAGAAATATTCCAAAGTTTTTGTTCAGATGACAGGAAAATTTGGGCTGCATACATTTTCGAGCGCGTCGCATTATGACACATATCAGTAATCAAAACGTATCTATAAATTGTTGTCTGTGGCAAAATCAGAAATGTTTTATTGGTAAAAAGCCGGTTTCGGGCTCTCTCTCGGTTGATATCTTATTGGTAATCCTCTGAACGGTTGAATTTCATAATTTATTTCTTCATCTTTTACATATGTGAAGCGTATTCTCTATGCGTTGCACTTATAGTCATTGATTTGTTTGTTCTATTCTATAATTGAAACAGGACAAGTCGAACGCTCATGAACAGCAATATATTTATTGCTGTGCATCCTGATGTTAATCAAGTCGCAGCGGCTTTCCCGAATTACTTCTAAATTAGTGCCCATGTTATTTATTGTATTGTATTGTATTTTATATTGTAATGTATTTATTCATAGCTGTGGTGGCTAACTGAAGGTATTTTGATTGCAGAGGTGCGGCAGGAAGCCGTGAAGGAAGCTCTTGCCCAGTACCAGTCTCGCCCTAAGAACCTGCCTCTACCCTCCAAACGCGCGTCTGTCACCACCGCGCGCTCTCCGGAGCATCACCACCACGACTCAGGTGCGTAAAAAAAGTAAAATTTCTAGTAAATAAAATTTATAAGAAGTTGCGAACAAATTCAAAATTATTCACTGAGTGCACAATTTTAATCGGATGACATTTGCTGTAAAAACCAGAGAGAAGCAGCATGCTGGCAGGGAGAGATTAATAATCCCTTATATTTCGGGAATGTATATTTTTCTAGTTTTAGTGTAACGCTGCAATGATTATTTTTTCAATGTTCAACTGTCCACGCCTTAAATTTATTCTCGTTTAATTGACATGATCATTATAATTTTCACGCCTGCCTCGGCATCTCTCGCCATGACTTGTGGCAGTACGTAGAATTAATCGCTGCAGTCAAAGTAAATGCGAAAGAATAAGAAAGAATAAAAGTTGCCATTTATTTTTATTATTGATTACCTGAGTTTAATTAGTATTCGTCGATGAATTATTAAGGTGGAGTGCGTTCATGTAATATGGAGATAAGTATTGAGTATACAAGGTAGCCAATAAAGTGACCGAATATTTTTACATTCTTGTGTGAATCAAAGTGTGAAAAAACATTAATTTATTCGTCGAATGGTTTTAATTTTTAAGTTTGGACAATTATTTTCAACGCTTTTGACACCGCCTGCTAGCAGTAATACTGAAAATAGAAAAAAAACAAAGCGTTCAGACGGAATTCGAAACCAGTGCATATTGACAATATTATATTAAATAATAAAAAATATGATACCATTACGCCTCTACGTGCGTTGAAAATACGACGTGTCATAATGTGAAGCCTAGTCTGAATGCCGCTTTTAGCTCCTTTCCTCTTGAAATATTAAATAGATAGGCCCGTTTACTAGCGTTCATTTCATGTCTCATTTGCTTCTGTTTTAATAGCCGACAGTGTATTTTAATTTACTAATTGATTGTATTTGTGTTTCTAGGACTGAATTTATTCTGAATTGAACTTTGTGTTATGAACTGACGATGGAGCTGGACTCCGAAACCCTTTATCTTATAAAGATATGTTGAATTTTTGTGGTCGTAATGTTTTTGCTTTTAAATCCCTGTTAATTCAAGCGAGATTATTAAGCGTTCCTCTGAATGTGACGGACTCGGGAGACAGTTTACCTTAGGTTTTGAATGTTTTTTTCTAAATATCGCTTCCTTGAAGTCAAATCAGGCTTCTTGTGTTTTCCCCCATAAGTTTTGTGAATGTAAATTATATTTTATATTGAATAATTTTCTGAATTTAATTTTAAATTAGGTGAATAATATAATGAATAATTTTCTCTGAATATTACAGACTCGGAAGACAGTGACGACGACAGCATCACAGCAGGAGGCAGCCTGGGCAGCGGCCACAGTAGTGGACCGAGTGCTACACCGGACCTGCCACCACCATCCCGTATCACCGCCCCTCATTACTCCATCACACCACCTAACACCAACCAGCAGCAACATTATTCCATCACACCACCTAACACCAACCAGCAACAACAGTTCTCTCACCGACACAACGTACCGTCTAGCAGCAGCAGCGCTGATAGCGCTCGAAGTAACCACCTTAATAACCCGGTGCTGTTGCCGCCACCTACGCTCCACCAACAGATCTTTGCTGCTGGGGGAAGCAGTTCTTCTCCACCTCCACCACCGTCAAGTGGCGGTGGAAGTGGCGGCCACAGAAGCGGCGGGATGCCTCAACAACAGCATGGATTCCTGCATCACGGTGTATCCAGCATACAGCAGCAGCCACTGCCACCAGTTCCACCACACAGGTGAATATTTACTTCCCAGTCTATTTCATTTACGCCTTTATCAATGGTACGGTATTGTTAACGAGACTAATTCTTACGTTTCGTGGTTTTTATATGTAATTTCCTGTTTAAAGTACCTTAGATTAAATCCCTGTCAGAAAAATTGTCGTGCATGTTCTTAAAGTAATAAAATTGATATAGTTTTCCAGCATTAACTTGCCGTTATGTTGTTTGTACCGTGGGTGTCTGTTACTATGCAGACTAGGAAGTTTTGCCGTTTCTAGTAACATGAGCCGCTCACTAAATCAATTGTATATTGCTGTCATACGTTATGTATTGCAATGTTTCTTGGACCTTACAGCAAATAATTTGGATTTATAGTTGAAATTAAATAATTTTACAATTTTGAATCAAATCAGGCCGTTTGAAGTGTCGGGGAAGAAAAACCTGATAGTCTTAGTTGTAGCGTCGCTCACCATTAACTGTATGTGTTCTAATGTTGCTCACCATTAAGTGTGTGTGTCTTAGTGTTGCTCACCACAAACTGTGATGCCCTGACAGCGGCGGTGTGGCGGTGGTGAACGGTGGTGACGATGATGAGCGCAGACGGCGGGAGATGACTGAAGTCACCGACCTCATGCGCAACATTACCACATGTCAGTCACAGCGCCTAATATCATGTCTAAAAGTATAATAGGTATTAAATATGTCATTACCTGCAACTTTTGGAACCATTTTTTTTATCCATTTTTTTAATTATGTACCGCACACCGTTGTACTATTTCCGTTTTATCAAACATTCTGCCTATTGCTTTCTTTATTGCATAATTTATAAGATTTATATACACAAAATCAACCCTTCATCCATGATGTCGCTGACCATTCATCCATTTATATACACAAAATAAATCCTTCATCCATGATGTTGCTGACCATTCATCCATTTATATACACAAAATCAATCCTTCATCCATGATGTTGCTGACCATTCATCCATTTATATACACAAAATCAACCCTTCATCCATGATGTTGCTGACCATTCATCCATTTATATACACAAAATAAATCCTTCATCCATGATATCGCTGACCATTCATCCATTTATATACACAAAATCAAGCCTATCCATTTATATACGCATAGTCAAGCCTTCATCATGTCGCTGATTTCTCTGAATTTTGTACCCAGACTGCGACCCCCCCGACGTGACTCAGAGCTCACAACCCCAGCCCCAGAGGTTGGGTGTCGGAGCTTCGAGAGACGACAGACTCGCGGGGCATTATGCTCGTCACCCACCACCCTCCCACCACACACCCATGCTTGATCCAGGTGGGGGAGAATAAATAATTAATTTATTGTTTTTTGTTCACTACAGTTCTTGGACAGCGCGAAGCGAAAATATTTTCTTGTAAGTTTCGTAGTATAGGCATTTTGGAAAATTACACTTCATTTTAAATATTTAATTCGTTGTTATTCGCGTCTGTGATTGAATTTTAAGAGATTAGCTCTAGTTTAATTTTAATTAAAATAGATTACCGGTAGTTAATTTTTTACTACTGCATGACCACAATAGACTATAGCAACATTGTCCATGCTATTTACCAGAGAACTGGAGAGGCACCGGACGCTGGAAAGTCTCCAATAAAATACAGCAGTTACTCAACACCCTCAAGAGGCCCAAGAAACGGCCGCTGCCCGAGTTCTATGTTGATGATGAAGAGGATCTAGAAATTGCTGCTAATCCTAAGGACCCGAACGCACCTAAACCCGAGGGCATGGTTATGACTCCTGCTAAAGGCGAAACCCTAATTGTGAGTACGACGATTTAAAAATATTTTAGTAGCTTTGCCAACATGTGCTGACATATTTTTTGGACTTGTGGTTCTGGCGCTGGTATAGTTTTTTTTAGTGACAAATTTCTACCGTCTCAAAACACAAGTGGCGCTTGATTGAGATAATTTTGTGTTTAACTTATTGTACCTCTAATAACACCACTCTTTGGAGTTTTTCAATATTATTTTTCATTAGCTTGTCCAAATAATTTAGAATTATTATGACGCACAGATTCCTGCTGGTTTGCCTCGGTCTGTGGAAGCTGCAGTGGAGCGATATGGCGGCAGTTCGGGATTCAAAGCTTCCGTTGCTACCGTCCTGGACTCGAATAACAAACTATCCACTCCCCTTACTTATGGTGAGTGTATTTCTACTCTTATACTCTCCTTGCCGTTATCAATTAGTGCAAATTTCATTGAAGTACTACCATTTTCTGTACAATTTTCAGATCAACTGTAGCTAAAGGAACCTTAGGAGATTATTTTAACTTCCTGAAATGTGTAGTTCCTCTGAAATTTATGTATGCCAGATCAGATTTAATCCTAATCAGATTTAAACCTAATAGGCTGCGTGGTAGAATCCCTTATTTTGTGCCTCGCATTTATTGTGATTATCTTTTCATATTTTGTTCCAAATTACGCGATCGATTTCACCCGATGCAAAAACACAATAGCTCCAAGTGGCTTCTTTTCTTTGCTCTACATTCCCTACCCTAACAAAATTTAGAGTCGCCCCAGCTTCTGGTACCCCAAATCAGCAGCTGACGCGTCTGTAAATTGTCATTGGGTAACAAAATTTAGAGTCGCCCCAGCTTCTGGTACTCCAAATCAGAAGCTGACTCGTCTGTAAATTGTCATTGGGTAACAAAATTTAGAGTCGCCCCAGCTTCTGGTACTCCAAATCAGAAGCTGACTCGTCTGTAAATTGTCACCAGAACAAAATTTAGAGTCGCCCCAACTTCTGGTACTCAAAATCAGAAGCTGACTCGTCTGTAAATTGTCATTGGGTATGTTTGTGTGCAGGCAAGTTGCTGAGTCGGTCGCAGAAGATGGCATATAATTTGCTGAGTCGGCTCGGCGGCCGCGGTGAAGGATCAGTCCTACCGGGTGACCGAGTAGCGCTCATTTACCCCAACTGTGATCCCGTGTCTTTCATGTGCGCGCTCTACGCTTGTTTGCAAGCCGGGCTCGTGCCTGTACCCATAGAGGTGCCCATCTCACGCCGTGATGCTGGCTCCCAACAGGTCTGTTTGTTTCAAACACCGTTGCTTCTTTTTTAAATTTTTGCTCCTTTGTCACGCACTGTAATAAACATCGCTGCGTCTTTGTTAAATTTTGTCCCTTTGTACGTACTGTATCAAACATCGTTGCCCCTTTGTTAAATCTTTGCCCCATTTGTTAAATACTGTAACAAACATCGTTGCAACTTTGTTCAATTTCAAATAACGTTCTGTAATTTTCCGTCACACGAGGTCTCCCAACAGGTCTGTTTAATTCAAACATCGGTGCCCCTTTGTTAAATTTCGAATGACGTACTGTAATTTCCGGTCGCACGATGCATGTAAAGTATTATTATTTGCCTGTTGGTTCTGTGACAAAATTAAATGACCATTAACCTAGAGCAGTTCAGATAAATTTGAGTTTGTGTTACGACGTAACTACTCGTTCCTTTGCAGATCGGTTTCCTGCTAGGGTCGTGTGGGGTGTCCGTCGCCCTGACCAGCGAAGCGTGCTTCAAAGGGCTCCCCAAGAACGCGTCTGGGGAGGTCGTGGGCTTCAAGGGCTGGCCCAAGCTCAACTGGTTCATCACCGACCACCTTCAGAAGCCTCCCAAAGAATGGCAAATTCCTCCAAAAGCCCCGGATGATGCCCCTGCCTATATCGAGGTCTTGCTTCTTAGCGTTTGTAATATTTTAGCAACATATTATCGTTTGTATTTATATATATATATATTTTTTTTTGCCGTCAGCATATTAGCATTTTCCAAATTGTATATGAGGTCTTCTATAGATAAAAGTCAGTAATTTGTTTTCATAGAAGAATTTTTCACTCCTACGTAGTCTAATGTTCGATATTTATTTTAATCTTTATTTATTTTAATGTTCGTATCAACTATTATTTACTTGACATTAATTTTACTTGTTGAACATACACTTATTTTTTGCGAACGACCGTTGTTTTTTCTCTACTTGAATATTTTTCTTCTATTGGTTGGACCGTCGTAAGTAATACCCATAATAATAAAGATAATACCACCGTCGCTGATTTTATTATTTTTCAGCTCTACTATTATTATGGGTAATACCCTTAATAATAAAGATAGTACCATACCGTCGCTGAATTAATAATTTGTCAGCTCTACTATTATTATGGGTAATAGGTACTCATAATAAAAAAGATAATAAGTACGTCGCTGATTTAATTATTTTGTTATTCCAGTATTCGACGGACTGCGATGGTAGCGTGAAGGGCGTGGTGGTGAACAGGTCGGCGTTACTCAACCACTGCCGCAGTCTCACGTCTGCCTGCAGTTATACTGAAGGAGAAGTCGCTGTTTGTGTCCTGGACTTTAAAAGAGACGTCAGTAATGATATCGATATACGCATAGACAAGTGATAGTGCTGGATAAAAGAATGATTTTACTTCTGGTCACTAATTTTTAAGACAGTAGGAGATTCTTAAAGAGACGTTAGTAATGATATCGATGTACGCATAGAAAAGTGATAGTGCTGGATAAAAGAATGATTTTACTTCTGGTCACTAATTTTTTGCGCATAGATAAGTGAAAGTGCTGGATAAACGAATGATTTTACTTCTGGTCACTAATTTTTTGCGCATAGATAAGTGAAAGTGCTGGATAAACGAATGATTTTACTTCTGGTCACTAATTTTTTGCGCATAGATAAGTGAAAGTGCTGGATAAACGAATGATTTTACTTCTGGTCACTAATTTTTAAGACAGTAAGAGATTCTTGACATTATTGTTTGCCAAATAATTTCTTGGATTCAATTTACCTGCTGGCAATCAGATTGATGACTATGATGTGAGAAAAATTGATTGTTCAATGGTTTCAACTAAAAAAGAATTCCATTACTTTCTCAGTGAATTGATTGTTCATTTGTTTCAACTATCTAAAATTCAATCACTTTCTCAACTGGTGTTTAGTCAGCGTGTTTTGAAATCGATGCACGAAATTGTCGAGAAAAATGTAAGGTAATCCGTGCATGATACTCGAATTTAGGCGCATCTTGCTTATTGTTTTAATATTGAGTGTTAATGGCATTTTTCTCTATTCTGGATTTGTTTCAGCGCTCACAAACTAAAATAAACACGTCAGAATTCCTTGCAGGCATCTCTGTGGAATTAATGAAGCTATTTTTTTTTATCAGCCAATGTATTTAAGAATCTCCCCATGTGTTCCCCAGAGCTTGCATTGATCGGATTATACAGCTCATTAATGTTCCTAATAGTGATGGGTGTTAATTCTTGAGCCATAATATCCACTTTCTTAAAGAAGTCTACAAATTATAAATTATACTGCGAAAGTATACATTACACAACATCCATCAATTAAGAGTTCATGTATGTATTAAGTAATGCATTATTTAATTACATGTATTTGTTCAGGTGGGCTTATGGCACTCAATGTTTTGCTCTGTGTTCAACGGCATGCACGTTATCTTCATCCCGTACTCAGTGATGAAAGTCAACCCTGCCTCGTGGATGCATATGATCACCAAATTTAAGGGTGAGTAATCAACCGCATGCACTTGTCGGGAAATTGTTTGTTTTGATATTGCCTCATATTGTTTGTTTTTCAAGCTAGTCATATTTTTAAATAAATGGGAGACTTCTCGTCAATAATTTTTTTAAGACGCACTTGTCGGGAAATTGATCGTGACTGCCTCATGTTCTTTGTTTTTCAAGCTAGTCATATTTTTAAAATAAATTGGAGACTTCTCGTCACTAATTTTTTAAAACAGTGATCGATTCTTCATATTATTGTTCTTCATATTTCTTAGATTTCATATACCTGCTGTCAATCAAACTGATGGCTATGATGTTCGAAATTCTATTAAATGCCATTAATGTCATGTCCTTTAAACGATTACAAAAGTTATCTTGCATTCAATTTAACTATTCTAAGGTTTTCATTAGGCGCTTCATCAGCAATCTGCTGCTTATGTGTGTTAAAATTTGACTAATATTTATATTTTAGGATAATTTTCATAAGATCCTGTACGAATTATGCTTAAGGATGTTCATCCCTTGGAAGCCTATCTTAATTGATATTCTAAATAGATAAAATGCTGACCTATAGGATAATTTTCATAAAAATCCTATACGAATTATGCTTAAAGATATAATCATCTCCTGTAAGCTTGTCTTAATCGCTATTCTAGCTTGCTGACCTGAAATTCGTACCTTTGAACAGCGAGCATCGCAATAGTAAAGTCCCTCTTGTACGATAATTTTCATTAAGATCCTGTATGAATTATGCTTAAGGATGCGTTCATCCCTTGTAAGCTTATCTTAATTGATATTCCTTCTAAATAAATAAAATGCTGAACTGAAACTCGCACCTTTGAGCAGCGAGCATCGCAATAGTAAAGTCCCGCGACCTACACTGGGGTTTACTGGCCACCAAAGACCACAAGGACATCAGCCTGCACTCTCTGCGCCTGCTGCTGGTCGCTGATGGCGCTAACCCTTGGTCCCTGTCATCATGCGATCAGTTCTTGAGCGTCTTCCAGAGCAAAGGGCTCCGACCTGACGCCATCTGCCCTTGCGCTGCCTCCCCTCAGGCCCTCACCGTCTCCGTCAGGCGGTACGATGTTTACTGGAATTTATTGTGTTTTCTCTTTTCCCTCATAAACAATTGCAGAGTTGTTCATATTATTTTTAAATTCTTGGGTCAGGCGGTACGATGTCTGCTGGAATTTATTGTCATAAACGATTGCTGAGTTGTTCATACTATTTTTAAATTCTTGGGTCAGGCGGTACGATGTCTACTGGAATTAATTATGTTTACAGTTTCCCATGAGAACGATTGATGAGTAGTTCATATTATTTTTAAAATTCTTGGTGATCAGTTCACATTGTTTCTTATCAACGATGGGGGTTCGTTTTCCATTACTTGTTATTGATGATTGCGTGGTTGCTCCTATTCCTTCTCTTGAACGGTTGCAGTTTTATTAAGGATGTTTCTCACTCATGATTAAATAACCAGGGGTAACATCTTGATTAAATACCATAACAATAATATCTTGATTAAATAACACAATAATATTATCTTGATTGAATAACAGGCCAGGGCACGGAGGCAGCACGGCGGTGGGGCGCGGTGTGCTGAGCATGCAAGGGCTGAGCTACGGAGTGGTGAGGGTAGACCAGGAGAACTCCCTCACTTCCCTCACTCTGCAGGACTGTGGACAGGTCATGCCTGGTGGTGCGTGTCAAATTTATGCGTATTCCACTCCAATATTCCCTCTTATTGCGTGTCAAATTTATGCCTCTTTCACTCTTAAATTCACTCTTATTGCGTGTCAAATTTATGCGTATTCCACTCCAATATTCCCTCTTATTGCGTGCCAAATTTATGCCTCTTTCACTCTAATATTCCCTCTAATTATTTTCATTTCAATTATTTTGGTATCCCATTTTAACATTTTATCCCACTCACTGCGTTTTACCTTTTTTTCATAATATCCAAATTTTATATGGAGCATAAATGTGTGCAACATCTCCAGAGAAATTGTGAATTGTAAACAATTGTTTAAAAGTCAACTATCATCGGTACATTTGCAAGCCTGTTTACTCTAAATATTTGTTGTGTGCAGCACAAATGCAGGTGGTTCGCGTCGAGGGCCCAGCTTACATCTGCCGCACGGATGAAGTGGGCGAGATCTGCGTGAGTGGGGACGGAGTGGGCAGCGAATACTGGGGACTTCCTGGCAAAACAAACCACACGTTTAGAGTGGTGCCTCGCCAGCCTCCTGACGACGCTAACGTCTCCGTAGGCCAGATTAACCAGTCCCCTCAACCGCCCCCAGCGGAGACTGGAGGTCCTTACTACGTCCGCACAGGACTGCTGGGATTCCTTGGCCCCGTAAGTCTCGTTATTGGCTATCCAGTGAAAATACAATGCAAAAATACTGTTACATATAAATAAGATAACGCCCATTCAGCTGCCATGTTTCTCGTGAGTGCACACTTGCAAAATACCACATTACTGAAATTGATGCATTAAAAAAACGGAAATTCTTTTAAGTCAGCCTGGTCAAAGCCCAGCTACCCGGTGAAAATTTACAGACGCGGCAGCTTCTGATTCGGAGTACCTACCAGAAGCTGGGGCGACTCTAAATTTTGTTAGGGTAACTGTGAAGTTTACGCACATGAACAATTAGAGGCTCCAATTTATTTTTTTGAGTGTTGGAACTGTTGTCGATGCTTGCCTTTTATTTCGTGTTTTAAATGACGATTCCCTAGAGTAGTAAGTTCGGTTTTAGCAAATCGGTTGTTATGTTAGTATTTTCTATTGCATATAAAAGCTGGCGTTGTTATCGCAATGGGTGATGAAACATGAATGGTTGAACGCGGTTTCCATAGAAATAGAGACACGTTGAAATATGTCCATTATTGATTTTTGATGGTCGTAAAAATTGCTAATTTATGATGGTTGTAAATTTTGGAGCTCACCAAAAAGTATCAATACTTGCTAATCTTTAACTTTCGGTTGTTTTTCGGTAAACAAGCTCTAATTTTGGCTCATGACATTGCGCTCGCCTGAAGCTCGCCAACGCTCACATGAAGCTTTGATGCGCCATTGACTTTTTGCTTGTCTAATAAATATATTCTCTGTCATTTATCCTTCATTTTTTATTTCATCATCATTTTCCGTCATTATCATATTTTTCATTTCAATCATTTGTGACTTATTGTTTTCATTTCAATCCTTATTTTATCGCAAGATAAGTTGACTAGTTTAATGACGGTGATGTTGTTGCCGTAGGGCGGTCTGGTGTTCGTGTGCGGGTCGCGGGACGGTCTCATGACCGTGACCGGCCGTAAGCACAACACGGACGACATCATCGCCACGGTGCTCGCCGTCGAGCCTATGAAGTTTATATTCAGAGGCCGCATCGCTGTCTTCAGCCAACGCGTCCTACGCGACGAACGCATCTGCATCATCGCTGAACAGCGACCAGAGTGCTCAGAAGAAGAGGTAAGTTATCGGAGCATGCCTCTACTAATATACAATATTGTTCAGCGACCAGAGTGCTCCGAAGAAGAGGTAAGTCATCGGAGCTTACCTCGTTTATTATAAAATATTGTTGATCGTCCAAAGTGATCTTAAGTTAAAACATTCTACCAGCTTACCTATTCCAACGTTTTGCACATTTCCCTAGCATAAAGTGACTGGAAATGTTTTTATTCCCGACAATAGCTGTCTGTGGCTTATTGAGTGTTTGGGTAAAGTTACTAATTTTCTGTAAAAATTTCTCAACACTCCCTGCAAACTTTTGTGTAAACAAAGTTTATGATCATATATCTTGATGTGAAAATATTTTACGGAATGTTTCAAGGCAGAAGTTCAGATCTACGGTTTATCGCCGTGAGGACTTTGAACATTCTTTTATTTCTGAAATGAATAGTGTTGAATGTACCTTGAAATGTTAGCTTTGCATTCAAGGTTTGTGTTTAATCCTCGATTCACTTTAATTCAGTTGTTGATACATAGAAAATAAGATCAAAATTTTCTTTCCGAACTTCAGTCTTGATACCTGAATTATCCATCTTTGATTAAAAAGGTCGAAGTAATTCCAGCCATGAATTTTTCCAGCCTTGATTGCGTTAATCCCGATCTTAGCTTGTTTGGATACGAAAGAGCAAATGTGGTAGTCTGATTAATGTTTCTTTTGCTGCAGAGTTTCCAGTGGATGTCGCGAGTTCTGCAAGCAGTTGACAGCATCCATCAAGTGGGAATTTACTGCCTAGCTCTTGTTCCTCCCAACCACCTGCCCAAGACACCCCTGGGGGGCATACACCTGTCAGAGACCAAGAAGCGCTTCCAGGAGGGTTGCCTACATCCCGCTAACGTGCTCATGTGTCCGCACGCATGCGTTACCAACCTCCCTAAACCGAGGGAGGTTCATCACGGTCAGTCCCCTTTAAATTATGTAATTTCATTATCGTTTAGATAATGTAATTGAGTTTTTTATTGTAATTTCAATAGAGTTTTGAAATTTTATTTTATTGAAATAGAGCTTTTATGCAATTCGTTACTAGTTGTTTTTTCGTGATCATAAATATTTAATAAAGTTTGATATTTTTGATAGTAGGTATAGTATGACTTCTTTGTGTTATCTAATTCTAAGGGGATTATCTATCTAAGTTTATCTTCGTCAATTACATTTAAATTCTATAATTTTGTTATCTTTTTTTTTATTTTATCAGTTTATATGTATTTCGTTTCTAGTTTTTTTTTTCATGCTCATTAATATTGAATAAATTTTTTTTTGTTTTTGATAGTATAGTTTAACTTCCTTTTGTTATCTAATCCTGAACATCCGTATGTATTTCAAGACGTGTAGCAATACGATTCATTTTATGCATAAATAGCTCGGTTTTTTCTACACGTGCGAGTTCATGTTGTTATGGAAAGATCGGGTTCCAAAGGCCGGATCCCTTTTGAATCAAGTCACGAAAAGTGCATGAATCGGCAACAGGGCAACAGGCCATGGGCCTATTTCTTCAGTGCCGACACTTCTATTCTATTCTAAGTTGACGTTGTCCACGAAGTGTTGACTTATAAGATGACGTGTTGTTGTGCAGATGTTGGCCCCGCCAGTGTGATGGTGGGCAACCTGGTGCAGGGCAACCGCCTGGCTATGGCCCAGGGGCGGGACATCGGCCTCATGGACGATGAGGACGCCAGCAGGAGGGTCGGTTGCTCGCTGGATCACTGGAAAAAAATTTTTATTGCGAAAAATTTTCGGGAAAAATTTCAGATTTTCTGGAAGAAGAAGAAAAATTTTTTCATTCTTTTTGGTGGCAGTTTAATCGGGACTTTTTACTTCAATGTGGTTTGTTCACATTCTTGATTTGTCACTAAAATGCGAGTTTCACATTGAAATAGGTATTTTTGTTATATCGCTGATTTTTTTCTGCTATAGTATTTACATTTCCAAAGTAATTCTTAAATGCGTAACGATAGTTTGTGTTCCCTCTAATATGACGTGCTACTACTAAAGTTGACGGCAAATATTATGACTGTGAGTGCAGTTCACGTTCAATTAGTATGACAGTTTTGTTTTCACTGATTTCAATGTTTCCGTTCTTTTAGCACCCACAGTTTATCGCCGACATCCTGAAATGGAGAGCGAGCACCACAGAGAACCACGAAATTCTCACCTTGCTGAACGCGAAGGGCCAAGTCGCAGTCTCGCTGACCTGTTCTCAGCTCCACAAGAAAGCGGAACGTGTAGGCGTCCTGCTTCTAGAAAAAGGCCACATCAACAAAGGTGACCACGTCGCTCTTATATACCCTCCCGGCGTGGACCTCATCGCTGCCTTCTACGGCTGCCTCTACGTAGGCGCTGTACCGGTGACCATCCGGCCTCCTCATCCCCAGAACCTGCAGAGTACCGTCAATACCGTCAGAACCGTCGTAGAGGTCTCCAAGTCCGTCATTATTCTTAGCACACTTTCCGTCATCAAGCTTCTGAAGAGTAAAGTGAGTCTGGGGTTAGCAACGGTAATCTTAATACGTTACATCCAGTGTCATGAAGCAACTCGAGTGTACAGTGATAATTGGATTTATCCATTGTTGTTATTCTAAGCACACTTTCCGTCATCAAGCTTCTGAAGAGTAAAGTGAGTCTGGGATTAGCGACGGTAATCTTGCCAATATCGTAAATCCAGTGTCATGAAGCAACTCAAGTGTGCAATGACTATTGGATTTATCCATTATTGCTTATATATATAGTCGAGTTTTCCGAAGCAGAATACGATAGCTATCAGGAAGGAGAGATAAAACTGTTTTGCATGTGGGCATGTTGTTGAAAATGAGGCTCATTGAATGCAATACACCTGCGTACAAAAAGTATTTATTTTCACCCCCATTTTATCATACATTATTCATATGATTTCATGTAGCATTCACTGTCTCTGATTATTTTATCAATTTTCTATAGTTCGATTTACGTTTTTCATGAAAATATTGATTTTAAACCCAGAATGTAACTCGCCCTTGATGTTGCAGGAAGAGAAATTCGACAGCGGTAAGAAATGGCCGGGCATTTTGGACACGGACGACCTGCCAAAGAAGCGTCTGCCCAGCACTTATCGCGCCCCCACACCTGAAATGATCGCCTTCCTCGACTTCAGCGTCTCCACCACCGGCATGTTGGCGGGCATTAAAATGTCACACGCCTCCGCAACGGCGCTCTGCCTCAGCATGAAAGTGGCTTGTGAACTTTACCCCAGCCGCGTTGTGGCTCTTTGTCTTGATCCCTACTGCGGTCTGGGGCTGGCTCTCTGGGTGCTTTCTTCGGTCTACTCAGGGCACCAGTCAATCCTTATACCCCCAGGAGAAGTGAGTGGGGTTTAGTATTAGTTTGTGAACTTCATTTATTTTTTAAATAATTTTTGTTTGAGTGTTGTTCTCAGGGATTGTCTTCAGTTCACTCACGGCCAGTTCATCCTTTCTTCGTACAAGTTTGCTAGTTTAAATTATTCCAGTTTCGTCTAAAAAGAGACAGTAGTTTTATAAATGATACTGGGAATCATACGCTTTATTCTATTCATTTCATTGTCATAATAAATAAACGAAATTAGTTTTACTATTCAGAATGTACTTCTTACCATAAAATAAGATACCATTTGCAAGTCTAAGTAATGCCGCAGCCAGAGTAGAAATTAATTCTTCTTCTCACGCGAGCGATCTTGAGTACTTCAGACGATTGCCAAATATTTTTTCTGAAATATCTTTGAAACCCTGATCGAAATCTGATAAATTTGTATTAATTCCAGGTGGAAGTAAACCCGGCGTTATGGCTGACCGCTGTGTCACAGTACAAGGTGCGTGACACCTTCTGTTCGTACGGCGTCATGGAGCTCTGCACTAAAGGCTTGAGTTCATCCATCACCGCACTGAAGCAGCGCGGCATCAACCTGGCCTGCGTTCGGACTTGCATTGTGGTGGCCGAGGAACGTCCAAGAATAACACTCACCAATTCCTTCTCAAAACTCTTCAACGGCTTGGGTCTGAGCCCGCGCGCCGTGTCCACAAGCTTCGGGTGCCGCGTGAACGTCGCCGTTTGTCTTCAAGGAGCTTCATCGCCAGACCCCTCGACGGTCTATGTTGACTTGAGGTCCTTGAGGCATGACAGAGTCACGTTGGTTGAGAGAGGCGCGCCTCACTCGCTCTGCCTCATGGAATCTGGAAAACTTTTGCCTGGAGTCAAAGTCGTCATCGCTAATCCTGAAACTAAAGGCCACTGCTCTGACTCGCATCTCGGTGAGATCTGGGTTCAAAGCAATCACAACTCTAGCGGTTACTTCACAGTTTATGGAGACGATGGAAGTTCAAATGACCATTTCAATTCACAGTTGGTAACTGGCAACACTGGAGAAGTTTACGCTCGGACGGGCTGCCTCGGTTTCCTCAAGAGAACAGAATCTGTGCAAGCCGACGGCGAGCTCCACGATGCAGTTTTTGTCGTTGGTTCGTTGGATGAAACTGTGATGCAGAGAGGCATGAGGTATCATCCTATAGACATCGAAAACACGGTACTTCGGTGCCACAAGAAGATCTCAGAGTGCGCGGTGTTCTCTTGGACCAACCTGATGGTCGTGGTCGTCGAGCTGGACGGACAGGAATACGAGGCTCTAGATTTGGTGCCGTTAATAACTTCGTCAGTCGTTGAGGAGCATCAAGTCATTGTTGGAGTCATCGTTGTCGTCGACCCTGGCGTCGTCCCAATCAATTCCAGAGGAGAAAAACAAAGGATGCATCTCAGGGATGGCTTTTTAGCCGATCAGTTGGATCCAATATACGTAGCTTATAACATGTAAAGTAATTAATATCTAGTTAACCAACCATCGAACTTTCCAAAGTTTACGAAGAACGAACGAGGAAGAAGTTGATGAGTTGAGGTGTATTTGTCAAGGTTGTTTTTTTGTTGCATTTCAGTTCACTTCGAGGAACACTCGGCTATTCCAACTCGTGAGTAATTTTTGAATAGTTAATGAGTTCTTTATCAGAGATATAGTAGCCTAATGTGATAATGGATTGTTTAATTTACGAAGGCAGTGGGATCTCAGGCTTGTCAGTTGTACGAGAGAATGGCAGGTAGCTAAGAAATTAAAATTGAACACGTGCAAGCACGACGTTTTTCGCTCCACCAACGATAGCTCAGCTCATGGTAAGTTCCGTATGCCGAATTAATGGCGATTTTTCTCATATTCTGTACAGGCTTCAAGTAAGAATGCACCGTAATATTAGTTAGGTATGTCCTCTCAAGTATGGGCGACAGATTGAATATTGGAACGTTTTGCGTTAGGGAAGTCATGCTAGTCGCTTACTGCCAAGTCCTTGCTAGGTGACACCGGTAGTTTCATAGAATTAATTACAAGCTCACACGCACTCTAATGTAGCACGGTAGGTCTCTCTTTCTTCAATCAAGAACGAGGTTAGAATTGATGGATACGGTGTGTAATGTACGTTGTCGAAGTACGGTTTTCAGGATAGATTTTTAATTAAGAGACGTTCACCATCGATCGTCCGGAGCGACACGAAACTGGGTGTGATCAATTTTATGCTAGTTTCAAATTGCGCTTTTTAGCGGTAATTATTCCTGTTCTTAATTACGCCTAATCAAGTGTTTTTTAGTGTATTTAAAAGTTCTTTGGCCACTGAGAAATATTCTTCGGTAGAATCTTTTTTTCTAAATTACTATGAAGGCTGAAATGCTCTTAGGTATTAACATTTCTGCGAAACTTGTCTAACCTCAAAAAGATTGGTTTACGGTTTAAATTTAAGGCGATGAATCGTCTGCAAATTATTTCTCGTGAAATATTAGAACGAAGGAGCTTTAACTTGAGGAAGAATAGGCCTTCTTGAATGTGCTGTGCTGAAGCAAAGCATTGTTGGCGCCGGAAGGAAATGAATGTATTCCTTAGGAATTCGTATCCTTGTGTACGCCGTTTCGGGGTCATGTGCAACGAACATGGCTTCGTTTGTGCGACAATAATTAGCTTTAAATGTATTTGTAATGTAACATGGGCCGCTGATGCTGACAGTGGAGCTTATTTAGTCATCCTGGGTTAGAATAAGAACCCTTGACTCCGCTTTCCTTCCCGTGCTGCCATTGCCTCTTACAAATATTTTGTACTTTCACCGCCTTGTGGTGAATAATGGATCCTAATTGAGTCTTGCATCACTCTATGTATTGGAATAATCACAAGTAATTAAAGATTTAGTTCAACATAGCGTCGATGTTTTTTTACCATGTAAAATTCTTCGATATAAATTTAGATTATTCTCAATTTTGTGATTAGGTCAGCGCATTGATCGCTCATGTGCCATTTGCGTAGATTTCTTATACTGAAGTGTAGTGATATTAAACGAGAGTGTAGCATGACGTAGTCTAGGCGTCAGTGTTTTGTGATCGGCATTTTACAGTTACGAAGAGAATCCTAGCAGCTTGATTGATTAGCTTTTTCTAGATTAGTTGTAACATGTGATCATTAACCTTCCTTCGCTTGTTTTAGAGTAACTAAATGTAGATATGTTTTATGTTCGTTTAGGTCTTCGTTGTTCGGCCTTGTTTTACTCAAGTTTTAAAATCTGATGCCTGGTTAAAGTGGCTCGATAATTTAAGGAGTGAATATGCAACAGCATCACTAAGACTCAATCAGTGTCAGATGTTCAGTTTCTAAAAAGACAGATCTCCTAAGTGACTAATATTTTAAGCAATCTGTGTTGTAATTTTGGCTGAAAGAAGCCTTCCTCAGTATAAAAGTGAGACATAAAGGAACAATAGCTTTATTGTTCCCTTTGATAATGTTCTTATCAAAGTTGAATATGTTTCCCGATATCAATCCCCATAAGACTTTAACTTTGGAGTCCCATGGTCTGATATAATCAGCAGGTTGTTGAACTTGGAAATAACTACTGCTACTTCACTTGTATATTATATCCCCCAAATTTGTTATTTAGTTATTATTAAATCATGTGAAAAATCTAGAAATTATTCTCCTCAGTTTCATCATTTTTATTGGTCTTAATCATAGGAAAGATTTAATGTAGTTCTTGTTTGTATTATTCATTCTACTGTATTTATTGATCGGCTAGTGATAAGTGATCTTTATGCTCATTCTCAAACGCAGCATTTTTACTGCAACGCATCGGCACGCAGCATCGGGACAACCTTGCGCCAAATGCGTACGTTAGTGCGTATAAAGCGTACGTTAGTGCGTATAAAGCGTACGTTAGTGCGTATAAAGCGTACGTTAGTGCGTACAATGCGTACATTAGTGCGTATAAAGCGTACGTTAGTGCGTATAAAGCGTACGTTAGTGCGTGCAATGCGTACATTAGTGCGTACAATGCGTACGTTAGTGCGTACATGTGTTTTAGTGTACATTTCATTTCGTGGGAGGGAAATGGAAAGTGCAGTGCAATAATAGCGATGGAGGCTTCATTTGAATTCTTAAACGTGTTGGATACTTCATTAACACGTTGAGTACGACACGGTCCACCGTTGGGTTGCAGGGTATCTTTGCCCGATTTAGTTTCCGACTTTTCAGTAACAAATTCCGCTATTTAGTTTCCGATTTTCCAGAGACAAATTCCGCGATTTAGTTTCCGATTTTCCAGGGGCAAATTCCGCGATTCAGTTTCTTTCAATTGCGTCTGTTGACAAAAATTTCTGCTGGCAGGACTACCTCATTAAATTTTAACAAGTACGGGGAGAAGGAAAATTTAATTTTTGCACCGGAACCTAAAAATTTCTAGAATATTTTGAATTACAGGCCTTTTTATCCGCGGTCTTGGCCGTTTTTAGGCGCTGGTGGTTCGTACCGCACTCAATGTGTTAACATTTAACATTGTCGTATTTCGAAACTATTTTCATTTCTAAAGTATTTTTTAATACCTCAGGTAACAAGCGGTTCACAAAAAAAATCGAATGCCTATTTTTATTGCAACCAAAGCCATGCTAAGTCTCATGAATGCAGTGTTAGAACGTAAATTTTAAATGTCGCGAACTTTACTCACTGCTTTGTGCTCATTGTTTCAAGCTGGAGTCAATAACAAACGTCCGATTCGCACATCATATAGATTGAGCTGCTATATTTGTTCTGTTGGGTTGCATTAAGAAATTGTGTTTGATTTCGCATTGAATTTCAGTTCTGCTAATTGTTGAGACGAGGAGAATCACGATCTTGATCTTCAAGACGTGACGTGCTCGTGACATTTTTAGGCACTCTGTTTCTTTCATGTGAAAATTATGTAATCACGTAGTAAGGTTTTGGTCTTCGAGATGAGATCTTGCCTTGTAATTATGTGTGTTGTTGAAGTTGTTTAATGGTGGGTAGGGTATGGCGTTTCATATTGTACAGTCAGAGTCAGCGTAACTGGCCTTGATTCCCTATTTCATACCCACCTCCACGGTCCCCTCAATGTTAGCCTGTACAACTCTGTTTTTTCTCCTTTATACGATTAAATAATATGCGAAAACGGTAAAATAAAGTTCCAATACTTCATTGTGCAATTTGTACAAGAGATGTTTTAATTTCCTTTTGAAGTCTGCCAACGCTTATGTGAAGAACAAACATTTTGAAGTCTTAGAACTTCATTGTGACGAGTTTAGATCATTTGATAGCATCTCCTCATTCCAATGAAACGTTATGCGTGTCGAGAATTTTTTAAACAGGCTGGAAGAAACAACACGTGTCCAAGTCGGAAAACGTTCAGACGCAAACGAAATAATTTTTTTTCCGTAAATTTATACAACTGTTGCTATGATAAAATGAGCAAGTTGGTAGCAGGAAATCCGTGCTCTAATTTTTCTCGGATGTAATTAGTATCTGATTTGTTGTGGGAACGACGACGCACTCTGCCGGACTGGCACTGGTCGCGCGTCGAGTTTAGTGGCTGGATTTCCTATGGACTTGCCATATCTTTTCAGATAATTTAGATTACTTTGTGGTTATTAAGTATACTGAATCGGCGAAGAAATGTGTCATGCTTGTTCACCATGAAAATTCATTTTTAGAGCCCCTTAATCTCCGACATCAGTTAAACAAATTCAAGCCTTTGTTAAATCGCTACGAGCTCCTCTTGCTTGGCCTAGCGTATCTCTACAATGAATCTCGGGAGCAGTCGTGACAACATTAAAATCGATCATAATTGTTGAATTGGTCATGTTTGAAACGGAGTTGAAAATTTATTCAACTAGTTCGATACATGCTTTTGCCTATTCCAAGTGATCAGAAGCCTTAGACACTCAAAGTAGAGGCGCGGTGGATGGACCAACATTCTAACGAGCTGTCAATGAGAGGCAATTGTAATTTGTGTAATGAAATTAATTAATTATTAAGAGACCTGGGTCTACCACTTCTCTTGTCTTGCGCTATGATTTAATTAAAAACTACCAGCAGTTGATCATTTGAGTGCTGCTGCTTGCTCCGTAAATGCATCTCCTGTCCTGAGATGCATGACGTATACTGTATACCGTATAGCAGTTAGATGATGATATGCTTGACACGAAATAATATTTTTAGAATTTCTCTGTAAGGAAGTGAGATAGAAATGAATGGAAATAGAAACAAAGATAGAAGATAGATAGAGATAGAAATGAATGGAAGATAGAAGTGAATGGAAGGTATGCTCAAAATCGATTGTTTATGTATCATTTACACACTTACTCAATTTCACATTTCCCTGTAGCTACACTGAATTACACAATTGCGAAATTTCTCGCAATTTGTGACGATCAGTCGTTATAACAATTATATGATCAGTCACAACTATATGTAAGGATCAGTCACTGATGGTTTAGATATTGAAATGCATAGAAATCTGTTGAGAAAATGTGCTTGTTTTTATCGAACATAATATAAGTTTTGACGCTTGCAAAAAATACGTTATTTGAACAATTACAAATATGTGCCTCAAAATGTAATTTTCTTGACATATAAAAGTCTAATCAAATAAGACTAGCTAACTTCAAAGATGGATTTTTATTATTAAAAAATTTATTATTGTATTGCTTATTAGAGGTTTCCAAGATCTATCGAAAACGCATGACGTGCCCAATTTTAAGTCAACCCGAGTTGTTTTTTTCCGCTACGTGACACATCACGTTTGTTTAATGTAAGTTGTCATTGCATTTATATTAGATGGTTATGTATTTTCTATTATTATAAACCTTTTCAAAGAAAAAACATTAATGGATGCTGAGAGAGTAAGTATTCAATTAAGAAATTATTCATTTGTTTCTATTTGAAACGTCAATATTTTTTGGCGATATATCTCTCAAAGACTGCATATACGAAATTAAAAATTTATCCAAAGAAAACATTAAAATTTTGCTGAATTTAGTTCACGGGAGCACCTTTTTGTGGTAGGAAATTCATCGCATCTTTTGAAGATATAAAGCATTTGCGTGAAATTTTAATAGCTTTCAGATGCAGGTTGTTCGTCAAAACAAGTAAATGCTTTGCCTAACTTTTTAACAAAATTGACTGTAAATTACTTCATCATTGTTTTAACACTGGGTATTTTACCTGAATCGAAAATTAATTCATTCTTATTCTCGGTATTTTTAAATTTTCGGCAAGCATTCAGAAGATCGTTTGTTGATACCTGAATATATGAGTCATCAGGCGAGATCTGAAAGAACAATTCGAAACAAAATAAATTAATTTCAAATCATTTTCGTTGAGGCAAATTATTCATGAAAAATTAAACTATTAACACATTCTATTTCTCTAAATGTTACAAAATGCTAAATACTGTGTAGATATTGACCAGGAAATACGAGCGTTTTGGTAGCGATCTCTCGGTCGTTGTTTTGCCGAGTTTAATACGAGATGATATGATCAAACTGGCCAACGAAATGGCCCTTATTCCTTTCAGATAATGTCGAAACATCGGAGAAAATTGCTTGCTTTTATTGCCTTATCGTGTCATAAATTTTTATGAAGTCGGCTTGTAGCACGTCATCTGAAACAACTATTTACCTGCGCGAAGAAGAAGTGCATTCAAAGAGTTAATCAAATAAGATGAAATCAGACCTGCGGTATTCATTTGTACAATACAATCTCTATCTGTCATTCCGCGGCCTCCAATAATCCACTTTTAGGATTAGTGACGTTGTTATGCACCAGAATTATCATTGTCGCTTTTCTAGCTTCAAATGCCAATTTATAAATAATCAACATCTGGGACGAAGAAAAGTTCTGACTTCGTATACAATAATGAAACTTGGATATTACTGCATGGCATGGACACAAACGGCATTTAATGTAAAGATTTTCTAGAGAAATTTGATAGCGTGTTTGCGTATAGTTTTGCACGGCAAAGTTTAACTAGTTTTAACTCTTTTTTTTATTTTTATATTGAGTATGAAAACTGTACTCTAGATTCTTAGGTACTAATCATTAAAGCCAAAATTATCATTAAATAATTGAAGGAATCATTTGACTTCATTCCTCCCTCGTCTCATCAAACTATAAGGAAAAGTCAGTAGATTTTGAAGTAAAATAGTTATTGAAATATGAATTTTAATTGACAAGTATCTTCATGTTAAATAGAGCGGGACCTCATGAAGCAGACACGGCAGCAACGAGCAGGCAGCACGGTTAATGTTCTAGAGGAGAAGGAGGGACGAGGAGAGGGAAGGAGGGAAGAGGAGTGGGAAGGAGGGTGGGAGTGGAGCAAAAAATAGGGGGAAGATGTCGGCGCCAGAGTCCCGGCTGATTGTATTGA